GTTTTCCCTGTGTCTAAAGCTGCAGGGTTGGAGTTGAAAGCATTACCTCAAGACCAACAACATTTATTCTTGAAGTTTAGCTCAGATGGGATTGGATTAGATGTGGGTCTGTGGGATGGTAGACAAAAGAAGCCTTTTATGATCTGTGACGGCAGTTTACGGAAACCATCTTTGATCAACGAGATTGATATGATCAGCAAGTGGAAGGAGGCGCGCATCTTCGAGTATTTTGGTGGTACTGGATGAACTCGAAAGATCCATCGTTCCCAATCACGCCCCCTGGTACAACGACGCCATCACAAAACCTTCCTTCCTTCTTCAAAGCAACACTTTGCCAAGGTGGGGTTACAGTCGAAGACTGTCTTTCATTTTTCGAGACATATGTCTTTCCTGAAACCCACGTGATGTATGCTATATGGGATTGGTTGGTGTCAGTTCGTAAAGGCTTGGGCCGCGATAAGCCATTGTTTTTTCATGCTGGTCGAATGGATTTCAAATTTGTTATCAGCAAGGCGAAGGGGGAATGGATTGACTTTCTTGAAGGATGGACTGGGGAAGTGATGTCTCTTTGGAAAAGCTTTAGGGAATTCAAAGAAAGTAAGTATAAAGACCATCCTTACTTTGAGATGATGAGAAGATGTGAATGTGGGGTCGACAGTCAGAAATATTTGGGCGATTTTCTGTTGAATTTGGGAGTGTTGCAGGGTAAACAGGTGGAAAAGGCTCCTGGTCGAGGCAGACAATCCCAGAAATATGGAACCGCCAATCTGTACAAGGTTTACGCGCCAACACTGAGACCAACATGAATTAATGCAATGTGATTGAGAGTTTGGCGAGGCTAGGTTGATATGAATGGGCATGGAAGGGTTTTGTTGAAAAGGTATTTGCGGGGACTTTAGATATGCATAGGTTTGAAGGGATTGGTTGGACTGTGTAATGAGCTAAGGGGATTGATTATAAGACGCATTCTTTATCTTTCTTACTGGTCGTATATTTAAAGTAAATGTTTCAAACTAGGGAGACCAAACTTGGAGCATTTTTCGTGTTTTTTTTATACATAGCCTTTAAAAGCTGGTATATTTTCTAATTTAGCTACGTGATTCGTTGTCGGAGTTACATGTGGTAATGGGATGTTTATACCTTTTTTGTCTTTTTCTTTGTTTTTTCGCAATGCCTTTTCCTCTTCCATTCTATGACCCAAACAACCATATTATATATCACTACCAAACTACCAAGTATCACCCAACATCAAGTGCTGTAATAAGAGAGAGAAAATTGAAGGTCACGAAAAGTGGCAGCAACCACATTTTGAGTACGCTTATTTATAGCAAACACGAAAAATCAGAAGTGGCTGCTCAAAAGTTGCTAAAAACTGATATTCAGATTAAAAAAGGAAGGTGAACCAAATACATTGACGTGTTGTGTCAAAAAAGAAGATGGCCATTGAGGAGCCTCCTCTTTTTTATTTTGCACCACATGTGCCCTTTTGTGAGATAAGTACAAACCAAACTAACGAGTGCCAACGAGCTAACCAGCTATTAATATTCCCAAAGTAAGATACAATACCATTAACACGCGGACATATCGACACAACTGCCCGTTTAGCTCAGTGGTAGAGCGCCAGACTTCTAATCTGGATGTCAAGGGTTCAAGCCCCTTATCGGGTACTTAACTTAATTAAGCTTTTGAATTTTTTTTTTTTTGGTCAATAATGCACCTAAAATACTTCATCATTTTTCCTTTTACTCCTTTTAAGTGATATTTTGACCAAGGGAGGTCAAGAATATCTATGAGTAATTTGAAGCAGTTTGGATGCAAGTTGAGCTTGGAAAGTGTATTTCGGGGTTTTGTGTTGATACCTTCTTCTTGTTCGCGGCATGTTTCGGCTTGCAACGTCAGGCTGTCCCTATTCGCGTCACGCAATAATAAGACTTATTTTTAAAATCAAGAGGAACTATAAAAAAGTGGTCAACTAACCGACTTGCGGTCCATAAAATCATTGCTACATAGTAGGTATTTTGCGTATGCAATAGTTATGTTTTGTTTCCTTGACCACCGTTTGGTTTCTTCAACCAGAAAAATTTTGGATCGTTGAGCAGCAACTGCGCTTACTTTGACCAGAGGGATGACAACAGTATCTGGCGACATGACATCTTCACAATCAACAACAACAACATCATCATCTACAATGCATAACCAACAACAACAACAACAACCAACACACTCTGACCTATACCTCCAAGCAACCCAAAAAGTCCTAACAACCCTCCGCTCAAGATCCCTCCAACTCCTCCTACACCTCTCAAAAACCAAACCACAATCAGAAATCCATCTCGTAAATGGGTCAATCGTTTCTGGAAATTGGGTTGGAACTGATTCGGAAGTTACTGTGATCAATGTTGATGGGTTAAAGACTCCGTTGGGAACTTACCCTGAAGTTTCGGTTAGAGTTGAGGATTGTAGATATGTTGCGTTTGATTGGCCGAGTGGAGGTGATGGTGAAAAGGAGGGTAAAGGGATATAGGGAGTAATCTTATTCGTGGATTTGGCGAGTTGGGCAGGAAAGAAAAGGTTATGTAAACCACTCATGTTGTTTTCTGTTTTTTTTTTTTTTTGTATTTATTTGTTGTTTCGCTTGTTTTTTTACGGGACAATATATGTATATTAAGTTCGCGAAACGTTTCGGTGCATTCCATTCACCTTCTCAACATTGGTCACATATATGTTCATCAATACACAAATATCTCGTTCTTTATTGTTCGATAGTTGCTATCAGCCAAGATATCACCCGCTTCCACAACCTCCTAAAGATCAACCAAAATCCAAAACCCGATACTCTCATTCGAAAGCCCATCCTCATCTTTATCGCTTCTTTCCTTCCTGTTGAATTAAAAAAGGGATATCATGAGTACCTATGGTACAATAAAAAAAACAGAAACAAAATGACAAAAAACAAACCTTCTTTTTAATAGTCTCATCTCCAACAAAAACACCCTTTTGGTTATAAGGCTCCGGCGGCCTCCAAGCTCTAATCTTTGCAGCAAATTGCGTGACAGCATTCTTCTCAGTCCCCGACAACAACAACCTCTGAGGATTAGGAACCGAAACTTTCACACCTTCAGGAACCTCCAAAACAACAGGATGCGAATGTCCCAATTTCAAAGACAACACTCCCACTTTCTTGGAGTCCTTCACTGTTTCTTCAACAGCAGCACGATACCCAACACCAACTAATCTAACAGGAACTACAAACCCCTCTGAAACGCCTTCAACCAAATTTGCCAATAGTGCTCTTGAAGTTCCCCACATTGCCTTTTGAGATCGATCAGTGGGGTCCATGACTGCCACTGTTAATTTCGGGGTTCGATGTGTTGGTAATGGGACTCCTACTTTGACAAAGGGGGGTAAGGTTATTGAGTGGGTTGCCAAGGGTCCTTTAACTGTTACGACGGGGTTTTTGATGAGTGGTGGGGATGGTGGTGTTAATGTTACTTGGACTGTAGTTGGTAATGGGATTGATCGACATCCGACTCGTGATGATGCTGGGGTTGTTGATGAGAATTGACGGATCGTGATGATATTCATGGTTGATGATGATGTTGATAATGATGTGAATGCGTTTGTCGAGACTCTTGATGCCGTCATCGAGATCGTCATGGTTTAATGATATTGAAAGATATTATTCTTTTTGCGCTTTTTTCTTTTTCTCCGTTGACAAGTCAACACACGAGGGTGTTTTGTCTTCGTCCATCCGATTTCAAAAAATGAGAATGCATACATTGGAGGACGCGAACAACCATAACTTTTACCAAAAAAGCAAATCGCTTATGTGTAAATCAAGTTTACGAAATTAAAGTTACCACCAAAAAACTACCTTCTTTTGTCACTAAAAACACGTTTTGTAACTCTTCATTAACAAAACATCACGCGCTCAAACACATCATTGAGGTTCCTTAACATTCTAACAACCCAAAACAACAAAGAAGAACCCACCCATCAAAAAAAACCATCTACAGAAAAATAGTCTCTTCAAATGCAACAAGATTTCAACAACTACTGAAAGACTTTAAACCAACAGCTCCAAATTATACTGTAACAGTTCTACGTACATATACGTCGGTTTATTTTATTATAACTTACTCACCACAGACAGCAAATCTCTTGTGAATGACAAAAGTAGCACATGGCTTTTCCGAACAAGTAGTATAGCAAGCACCTTTCAGTTGACCAACTGAAGCAAGATAACTAAATTCTGACCCCTTCATCGACCTGATTTGAGATCCATTCCCCACATCCCACTCACGTACAGTACCATCCATTGAAGCTGACAAAAGTTTCTGATTGTCCGCAGAGAAAACCAGTGACAACACTTGCGACTTGTGACCTTTCAATGTTTGTAGTGGAATTGCTGAGGCGACATCCCAAACAATAATAACACCTTTATCATCACCGGATGCTGCAATGGCATAATCTGATGAAAAGCCCACTGAATTCACAAAACTCACATGACTGAATGAGTTTGTTAGAGAATTGACAAAACTCACATGGTTTAACGAGTTTGTTACTGCCAAAGTTGAAGTATCCCATAAGAAAACCTTGCCATCTTCTGAACCGGAAGCAAGTAGGGAGTTGTTCAAAAAGATAACTGAGGTTACTCGATCGTTATGC